GTGACAGAGCCCTGGCCCAGGCTGCCCAGGGAGGCTGTGGAGTCTCCTTCTCTGGAGATATTCCAGCCCCGCCTGGCCGCGGTGCTGGGCAGCCTGCTCTGGGTGACCCTGCTTGGGCAGGGGGTTGGACTGGGTGATCCACTGAGGTGTCTTGCACCCTCTACCATTCTGTGATTCTGTGAGATGATCTCCAAATCGCTTTTCTACATGGCTGTGGAAGGCCACTGCCCAGTGCTTACCCTGGTCATCCACAATGAGCTTGTCCATGCCCCGGGGTCCCAGGGTGGTGCGCACAGCCTCCGCGATAACCTGGCAGGCATTGATGTTGCTGACGAGCTGGGGGTGTCTGGTATACCTGGACATATGAAACAAGACCAGGGAAGATATTTTTACTCGGATGTGACAGTGCCATATTTGCTGTGCCAAGTATTTAACCTTTTATTGCAGCTTAGCTCTCATATAAGTGGCAGCTAAAAAGGCCGAGATGAAAACCTGCAGCCTCCTTAAAACCCCTCTGCCTTCACATGAGCCAACTGCTCTCCGTCTCCCACTGTGTAACTGGAATTCACCCTGCTGTCCCCAGCACACACTCTAGGACTGTACTGTAACTGTGCCCACAAGCAGGCTTCCTCCGTACAGCGCAGTTCAGTGAAGTTCTGACTGCGACGCCAGACTGGAGCAGACAGGAGATCCATTACTGGGACAGCAGGGAACTGCAGCAAAGCTGCAACTGGCTCAGTGGTTTTTTTATTACAGCACCAGCACGATGCTCAGCAAGTCAGGCACAACAGCTTTCCCTGTCACACACAAAATCAGGGTCCCAGCTGCCCCCACGACATCAGCTGCTGAAAGATGCTTTCAGAGAGAGAACGCGGTAGGCAAACACGATTCCAGCGATTCCACCTGCCTGACAGCGAACCGTGCTGGAGACAGCTCAGAGGTAAGAGACACCACAGCAGACAAGGGCTTCTCGCTGCTCCGAGGGCGCACCAGCCCTTTTCAGAAATCAAACACGCCTCAGGGGCAAAGCTCAAATAAAGCCCAAACCCAGCCGAAGTTTGTGAGGCAGCCAGTTATACTCTGCAGGCAGAGAGCAAAATTATATTGCGATTAAGAGTGACAATGCTGGGGCTGAGGGTCCGATGTGCGAGCAGAAGGCTGGGGGTATCACAGCCAGGCCTCCCTAAGACCTGGGAAGATTCTGTGAAAGAAAACGTGCCGAGCTCTTCCACGCCCACCAGAGCGGGGACCGGAAAAGAAACCTTTGCAACCCCGAGATAAATCAGGGTAGAGGCGGACACACACGGGGCTCAGTGCCGGGAGCACCGGGGACCCGCAGCTGGGGGGGAGCTGGGCGCTGCGGCAGAGGGGGAAC